TTGTGCGGGTCCTTGAAAACACATAGAAGTGATTCATGTGCTTTATTTTATAGGTATTTCCCTCTGACCTTCAGGGAATGACTCTCAAAGCCACACTTTTCCATAAAAAAAATGTGCACTCCCATGGAAAACTGTATCATCTCTAGCACATTCTTCCTGGTTCTTTGATTCTGATTCAATGACAACTATTTTATAACCAGAGGCTCAGTGCATGAAATTCGTGCACAGGAGGCAAGGGGTCCCTCAGCCCGACCTGCTCCTCTCTCAATCTGGGACCCCATGGGGGATGTCGGGCCTAAACCGGCAGTCAGACATCCCTCTTGCAATCTGGGATGTGGCATGCACCAGTGACCATACTTTTCTTACAGGTGAAAGGCATCTTGCTGTTGTATGGGCAGCTACATTTTTTTACCCTGATTATAAAAAGCAGTACATAACATGACCCTTCTGAGGCAGTATCGCCATTTTCCCCATCTTATGGGTGGAAAACTGGAGCAGAGAGAAGTTAAGTAATTGGCTTTGTCACACAGTTATAAGGGTCAGAATCAGGGCTGACCACAAAGTGTGCAAGCCAGAGTCCATGCATGTCATCACTGCATCATCCTGGTTTTTCAGTGTTAGAGTAGCTTTGCCAGGTTTGAATTTTTAAATCTAAGAGACTGTTCCCAATATAGAGGGTTGGGTCCCTAGGCCTGGTCAGCAATATGGGTAATCTGTGGGGTGACCGATGAGTGGGGTGATAGGGAGGCCCCCCAATAGCACCCACCTAGGCTGGTGGCCTGGGCTGCCCACTGGCCAGCCCTGCTCCCTGATTGCTGCCGCAGGTCACCTCCCTCTCAGGGGACAGTGCGCATCATCGCAACCAGTCATTCTGCAGGTCGTTCCACTGTTTGGTTGATTTGCATATTAGGACTTTATTATATAGGATTCTGCAAATCATAGGTAATTGATAGACATACAAATTCTGTGTTTCTTCCTCTATTGTGGGAGGGACGAAAACCCCACCCTGGTGAGTCTCCCCATGCAATTCATGTCAACATTTCTTTACTCCATATAAGAAGTTTTCATGTGTATTCTTAAGAAGGCTAAATGCTCAGCTGTCCACCTGAGGGGAGCGGGTCGGGGTGGACAGCTGCCCTCTCCCCACCAGGACCCTCTGCTCCCCTCCAGCTTCCCCATGCATGTGGGAAAGAAAGTCCCAGAAGCAGCGGGGTCCCAGCGCTGCCCTGGAGGAGGAGAAAGTGACTAAGAGCTGGGGGTCCCAGAGGCATCGGCAGCAGGGGCCCCAGAGCTGTCCAGCCCGGCCCTGCGGCCATGTACCCTCCGACTGACCTCCCATGTGCCCTGGCCAGGCTGCTGGTCCCTCAAGTCCTGGGAGCCAGCAGAGTCCACCCTCTCACTGCTGCCACCTGCTGGCCAGCCCCTCCTGGGACAGGTGTGAGGGGCAGCTGAGAGACCCCCTCAGCAGCAGGACCAGCCTGACCCCAGACTGGGGTGCAGAGGCTGAACTCAGGACTGTCTCCCCCATCCTACCTGGGCTCCAGGTCTGAGCCCTTGGAGCAGTGGTTCTCAACCTTCTGGCCCTTTAAATGCAGTTCTTCATGTTGTGACCGAACCATTAAATTATTTTCGTTGCTACTTCATAGCTGTAATGTTGCTACTGTTATGAATCATAATGTAAATATCTGATATGCAGGATGGTCTTAGGAGACCCCTGTTAAAGGGTCGTTCGACCATCAAAGGGGTCTCAACCCACTGGTTGAGAACGACTGCCTTGGAGGGAACTGAAGGCCCTTCAGAGTCCCCTGAATGGGGGGCCACAGCTCAGTGAGGGGGGATTACCATCCCCCACAGCCCCCCTCCCAGGGTGTCTTCCCTGGGGAGAGAGGAGCCACTGTGACACAGGGAGACAGATCAGGGCTCCCACAGCCCAGGACTGCCT